GCTGGGCAGTGTTAGTAAATGCAACATAAGGGAATAATTCAAATACTCATCTATTAATAATAATCACTAGGAAAGTCAGATTTTAGAATATGTTTTTTATCACAAAACATCCCCTAGGTACACAAAACTATCAGATTCTGTCCTTGTTTTTTTGTGTCATTTGTGGTCCTTAAGATTAATATGTGTGCTCACAAATAGTCCTTCTGTCAAAAACTCCGTTGGTTTGCTGATGTGGCATATATGCAGAGCCCACGTATCTAATAATACAGTGCCACATGTATTTAAAAGACAATATATTTTTGTTAAAAATAATTTAAATTTTAAAATACAACTTTTCTTTTGGTTTTTTCATTTTTCATTTTTATTAATTTTAAATTTTAGATTATTTAAAAATGTATATTGTATTTTAGATACATGTGACATTATATTATTAGATATGTGGACTCCACGTATATGCCACATCAACAAATTAATGGAGTTTTTTTTTTTATTTATTTATGAAAACTGACGGCATGTGAGCACTCATATTAACCTTAAGGACCACAAATGACACCCAAAAAAAAAAAATGATAGTTTTGTGAACTTCAAAGATGTTTTGTGATATAAAGCCTTTTAAAATAATCAAAGGGTCCAATGTCCATGTTGTTAAATCTCAAGTGCCAAAAAAAGATTCGAAAAACTTTTCATGGGCCCCGACATAAAAATCCTCCAAAAGGAAATGAAAAAATTTTCACAGTAAAAAAAAGCAAAACACCTCCCTCGACAATAATGTAATCGAATCTGCCAAACAAAATTGACAACTTTGTTTGGCTCATAAGAAAGAATAAGGATGATACAGATATCAGGGAATTGATATATTACATCAGGGATTGATATGGCAAGATTTCATTTTGATGTTTCAAAAGCCACCATGGACCTTGTCATTTTGGTAGCCATGTTGGTCCTCTGCTTCTGCATATCCAAAGTCAAAGTTGAAGCACAATCTCTTCTTCTTCTCCTGAATGTTTTTTCAAGTTGGTATTACTGATACTCAAAATCTATGCACTAAAGCCTCAGTTTTTGTTTCTGTTTTGAAAAAAATGAAGCCTGGGGTATTTTTTTGAGTTGTGTTAAACAGCATAGGACAGAGTGCTCAATGCAAACGTCGGTCTTTTTGATTGAAAATTGGTAGAAGATTTTAGCCTTTCTAGTGTTAATGTGTTAGAGCACTCCCAGTTCAATGTTTGTCAGTATAATTTTACATGTTGGTTAGATTAGATATAAATTTACAAAAAAGATTTAAAAAAAGAACGAACTTGTTTTCATCATTACAAGTGGAAATGGATATGAAATTCAATGACTCAGAGAGATACAGAGCATGATCTGTATCTTCTAGAGAGGTTTTCTAGGTTAGAATGGTGGGTGGCAGAAGGCCCAAGCCCAACCACCCTACTTTGCTTTAAAAATGAAAAATAAACCTGGTTACTTTTTTGGCACCAGCCCAAGTTGGCCCAGTATCAGGCCTATGCACTCATAATATTTTTGATCAATCAGGCCTGCGCACTCATAATTGAAGGCCTATATCCAATATTACCTCATCTTTATTATAAATAAAAAAATCAATGTGCGAGGTGAGAAATTCGAACTTCTAACCATGTCACAAATTTAAATCAATATGACCTCCTAGTTGGTATTACCATATGTCACAAATTGTTTGGATATCATCTTTGATAATCCTGGGTTAATTAAACAAACAGGATCTAATCAATGCTATTTGAGTTGATTATGGTGGAAAATGTTCAATTATATGATCATGGGTTTGATTTGGTTGCGCAGAGGAAGCACTAAAAGAAATAGCAAAACAGCTGGGGAAAACGGACTGGAACTTCAACATAAACCCATGCTTCAATTACACAAACTGGGATACCCTAAACTCTACTGCCAACCCTATCTACAACAAGACCCTCGAATGCAACTGTTCCTATCCCGACGGGTTTTGCCACGTTGTCAGCATGTACGTCAACTCAAAGCTTACTTATTTATATGTTTTCTGTTGGTTTATCTATGAATTTAATTTCTCTTTTCTTGTTCATTATTATAAACCTTAATATAATTTGGCACAATTGTGGGTTACTCCAGTCGGCCAGGGTAATGAGCGCATCCTCTTGCACTTAGGTTCGAATCTCCCTTTCACGTACACAGTAATTTAGGGGTGAAACATTGTGTTCGCAGAATAGTCCACTCAACTATAGCATGCAAGAGATTTGATTTGATTTGATTTGATTTTTGTTCTTTGGGTGAATTACATTTGAGTTATGTTGTGCAAGCTTATCATTAAATCAGTTTATGTGCAATTGTGCATGTGGGTTTTGAAGTTTATGAGCGCTGAACATTTTTGTTATACAGTTTTCTTAAAGGGCAAGATCTTGCTGGTGTACTTCCACGATCTGTTGCAAAGTTGCCCTACATAACACAAGTGTAAGGGAAATCTTTCTCAGTTAATAATCTGCAAAGCTTAATAATAGTATATTTTAATTTTAATTTTATCTTTTTTACAGTGATTTCTCCAGCAACTACCTCAGTGGTACTATACCGCCTGAATGGGCTTCCACAAAGTTGGAACTTCTGTAAAATGACCTCTGACCTTCAAGTTCAAGGTTAGCCAATTCTAATTGCTTT